CACTCTCAACAAGCTCCTGGAGAAGATCCCGTTGGCTGTCAAACCCTTCTTGCCTCAGCTCCAGCGTACCTTTGCCCGTGGTCTGGCGGACACTTCCAGCGAGACCCTGCGCAACCGTGCCGCGAAGGGTCTTGGTATCCTGATCACACTGACTCCCAGGGTTGACCCACTTATTGCCGAGCTTATTGCCGGTTCGAAGACCTCTGATCTCGGCGTCAAGAATGCTATGATGAAGGCTCTTCAAGAGGTGGTTGGCAAGGCCGGTGCTAGCATGAGCGAGGCATCGCGGACTTCCATTCTTGGACTCATCGATGATGACTCCAGCGACCAGAACGGTCAGTTCGATATCAGTCAAGCGCATACATTTTGCAAATCACTAACGTTATTCACAGACTCTGTTGCCATTACCAACGCACGACTGCTCGGCCTACTCGTCAAGGTCCTTCCGGCCGCAGCTGCAGTCCCTGTCATTAAGTACGTTCATCTTAGACCATCACTCCGTTGAGACCTTACTTACAATGCATAATAGGAACCGCGTTCTCAGTGGCCAATTCTCGCACGCTTCTGTTCTTGGTCTGAACGCTCTTTTGGCCGAGTCGCCCGATACCATGATTGAACACTTCGCCGAAGAGACACCCTCGATCATCTGCCAGGGAATTGCACACAAGGATGTGAGTACCAAATCAGCCCGATCATCCACCACGATTGTTGAGCCTTGAAACTAACTGCCTATAGCCTTTCATTTCCGACAACAGCGTTCTCGCTGCTGGTAAATTCCTTCTCACAGAAGATGGAAACCACAGCTTCGAGACACACAAGACTCTCTTCGAGGCTCTGGCATCCGTTGTTCAGCCCGGCAGCCCATCCGATACCCGTCGTTTGACGCTGGTTGTGATCCGGACTGTGAGCCGCCTCCACCCCGAGCTGACCCGCCCTCACCTGGCCCTCCTCGCGCCCCCAATCTTCGCCAGCGTGCGCGACCTGGTCATTCCCGTGAAGCTTGCCGCGGAAGCGGCATTCTTGTCTATCTTCTCCGTGGTGGAGTCTGATAGCGAGGTCTTCGACAAGTACATGGCCGGTCCTGGTGCTTCGCTGCCGCCTGGACCGAAGCGCAGTATGGCCGAATACTTCAAGCGCATTGGTATGCGTCTTGCCAGTCAAGCGCGTGAGCGCCGCACCGCTGAAGGTGGAGAGGGTGGACTGGGACTGTCGAATGATGAAGTGGATGATGAGAAGGAATTGTGGAGTATTGGCAAGGTGGACCTGGGGGAGGATGGATTTGGGGATGAGTGATTGATGATCGATTGAGCATCTCAAGGTTGCATCTACGTGTCTGTATAGATATACCCTTGGGCCTACATATTTTCTATTTTTTATCGTACAAAAGTTTCAAGAGTTTATGACGTGTTGATGAATTGATTGTTCGAGAGTACTTGTATTTGTACTAGTAGATGGGATGAAAAGGGGGGGAGGTTGAAGCAAGAGAACATGGGTTATTAAGTCGTGCATGAAGTATTTAACCATTGGCCGGGTCTTTCACTTCAATTATCCTGACATTATAATAAAGTCAGGTATATGTACTACTCGGCGTGGAGTACTAGTTTACCTTGCCTTCCCAAAAGGGTTACATTTGATATCATGTGATCTTGGCAGACTTCGCCAGTCACGTGCTTCGTAGATCTTTAGATACCAGCATCATGAATGGCACTTGCACGATTGCACCAGGGAGGAAGCCAGAAGAAAAGAAACTCTGCAGTTTATCCTAGACTTAATTCATTTCTTTTATCGTCCCCGATCTATTCATTCCCTGGCAAATCATTGAAACATGGCCTTCTTGAAATGGATTACCCGATCGGGCCCTAGGGCTAGGGGTGCAGCCCTAATGTGGATTTCGCTTACGGCAGATTAGCTAATCCGATTGTGCCCCAAACTCCTCACCGTCTGGAATTCCACGTTTGAGCGCTACGAACATCATCCGCCAAAGACCGTCGATACGCCGACATCAAGATGTGAGTGCCACCTCCTACGGTCATTTCCTGAGAATACCCGACATTCGATTTCATCACCCCCCCTCGTCCTCGTCGAAATCAACCCCCCGCGGTGGAAGAATGGAAACGATCCATGATATTGTGTGTGTGCAAAGGCTGACCTCGACTTTTTCCTTCTATCCAGGGTCAACCTTCGCACCCAGAAGCGCCTCGCCGCCTCCGTGGTCGGCTGCGGCAAGCGCAAGATTTGGCTCGACCCCAATGAGATGACCGAGATCTCCAACGCCAACTCCCGCCAGACCGTCCGCAAGCTCGTCAGCGATGGCCTCATCATCCGCAAGCCCGTCACCATGCACTCCCGCTCCCGCGCCCGTGAGCTGAACGAGGCCCGCCGCATCGGTCGTCACCGCGGTCTGGGTAAGCGTAAGGGTACCAAGGACGCCCGTATGCCCAGGTATGCAACAATTTCTCGAATCACCCGTTGCTCCCCGGGTTTTCCCCCCCTCCTTCCTCGCATGGAGGGGAGGGGAAGACAAGCCCGGTGGACAATACAAGCTGGAGGAATCACCGGTTGCTAACAGATATCGCCCCTCTACAGCCAAGTCCTCTGGATGCGCCGCATGCGTGTTCTCCGTCGTCTCCTCGTCCGTTACCGTGCCGCTGGCAAGATCGACAAGCACCTGTACCACGAGCTCTACCACCTGAGCAAGGGTAACACCTTCAAGCACAAGCGTGCCCTCGTCGAGCACGTAAGTCATTCCGCATGAATACCGTTCCCCGCCACCACCACACACCCAAACCCACACAATCCTTCTCTCCCTCTCCCACTGGGAATCCGATCCATCGTACCCCACGATGCACAAGAAAGAAAAAAAGACTGACTCGCTCTCTTCTCTACACTATAGATCCAGAAGGCTAAGGCTGAGCGCGCCCGTGAGCGTGTCCTCAAGGAGGAGATGGACGCCAAGCGTGCCAAGAACAAGGCTCTCCGTGAGCGCCGTGCCGAGCGCGTTGAGGCCAAGCGCAACGCCCTGGCCGCTGAGGAGTAAATCCTTTTCCAACAATAACCAAAAACATCTTTTTTGCGAATTGTTTGAAAAAGGCTCTCTTGTTCGGCGAAGCGGAAATCTAAAGGGGGAAAAAAGGGGTTGTTGTGCTTAAAAAAAGCGGTTATTCGAATCTTCTGGGGGTTTCTTCATTATTTTCCGGGATTTTCCAAAAAAGCAAAACGGCTCATGCTGTTTTCTTTTTCTCTCTCTTCACCCCCCAAATCATTCTCACCCACACTACCCAAATCGAAATGAATCCATGGAAATTCCTACTACGTTCGGGCCAAGCTGCTTTTTTTAATCCCTCCAACAAACTTCTTCCTCTCGCCGGGCTTTGTCTCTGTGTCGAAGTGTCGGCGGGGGGGATGCGATGATGACGTGATACTCAAACCAACCCTTTTTTTATCTTGTTGATAACGAGAACTTGAAGGCGAAAGGAAATTCTTTTTTTCAAAAAACAAAAAAACACTAAAAAACTTTCCTTTCTTCGGCGTATAGTAACATTTGATCAACTGGTTTTCTCCGGACCTTGCGGTCATGCCCATCCGATGCCGTAGAACTGGAGAGATTGTAGATTTCGCCTGCCAGTGGATGAAGTAGTATGTTCAGGGTCTGGGGTAATCTGATCTCGCATAAAATTATACCAAGTCTGATGATCTGTATATGGTATCTGCACCGTCTATCCTGAAAAGGGATTGGCAGCTACCTACTATGGAGGCTCTTTACAAACTACATACCAGTAATAGTACATAGTAGTAGCATCATCTCATGCAAGATCTCATTATAGTACCTATGCAGGTGGATCCCCACGCGTATCATTTTCTACGCCAAGCTCACGTGAAGCACTTAAGGGCCCTGAGGCTATATTCTCTGTCACGTATCTAGCAGCGCATACTTGTGTATATTTCCTCATAGCATTGGAGGTTATAGGTACCTATTCAAAGAACATCCAGTGGCAACTACTAGTACTAGTACTGTTTAACCTCTAGGCAAGTCGTGTTGTATAGTACTACTACCTAGGTACTATCAAGTGCCTCGATATATATGTCTACAAACCCGACTGATGACCCCCGAGTTGTACTTAGGCCCACTCAACACGCCCACCACCAGTACCGGCCAGTAACCTCAGCAACACTTGTGAACTAGTCAAAGATACGATATATTTTTCAAATTGAAGACCTTGGCCGAGTGAACTACTAGCAAAATTCAAGTTCAAGGTTATAGGTCACTAAGCCAGTGATGTCACATCCACAACCTAAAATCGAGAGTAAAGCACAGACCCTTCGAAGGCTTTTCACGTAGTCATTGACAACTTGAACCACGCTTGCTATAGACATGGACATGTTTCCTAATTGAGGTATAAAGGAAAAAGAGCCCGAGTATAAAGCTGAAACACTTCTGCGGCATGTATGGATATGCTTAGGGTTCCAAGGTTTACAGGGGTGGATGATAGCCCTGGGGTTGGGTAAGTTTCGGCCCGCCCATAACCCGTACACTCAGGAATGCAGGCAAGTGCGCCATGGGGCTGGATAGTGCATATTACTGCTAGTTACTAAATCCTACTACTAGTAGTAAGGAGGAAGAATTAAAAGATAAAATCAGAATTTAATTGTGCAATCCTATTACACGAAATCGAATCCTCTCCGACTCCGAGTAAAATGCGTAGACATCAAATGCGGGCCCACCGTGATGCATCGCACAAAGTATTTCAGAATAAATCAAATGTCGACAATCGTAAAACGTAGGAAGTACGGAAGGGGGTATTTGGAAAAATCGCTTGAGACCGCCGCCGCCGAGTAGAACAATGAAAAGGAAAGAGATTGGAAGTAAGTGTAAGAGGGGGGTTAATTTCACCACCACACAGACCATGCGATCATCAAGGAAGGTGCGGACGCAGAGAATAGAGCGGCGAATCGAGAGGCTGCCCATTAATACCTTCCAGACATCGTTACGGTGCCCACCACTAGTATCGTCCACCCCATGGAGAATTCGGGAATTCAGTTGGTGGGAGCGGGTGCTGAAGCCCCGACTCTGGATATTCCCAGGAGGCCGCGCTTGCTGGGAATTCCAGATCGAACGGATTGCTGCGGATACTCGCGCGCCTCTTGGGTGTAGCGAGGTGCTTGGTGCCAGGCGTCTCATATCCGGCTTCGGGAAGTGTTGTCGTACTTCCACCACTGGGATAGTACGTATTTGTGGCACCCATTCCATCCAGGCAGCCACGAGCGAGATTTTTGACAGTAGAACTTTCGGCCGCTCGATTACGATTTGCTTCCACACTTCCACCGTGATGGTAGGTGGTATTTGCGTCCGGGAGGGTAAGCTCGCCATTGTGATAGAACTCGAGAGATTCCAGTCTATCTTCCCACGACTGGCGTGAATAGATCGACGCACTGCGTGATGGAGGTGAAACTTCAATCGTGGGCCTTGAGCTCAACCCAGTCCAGGGTGCCCCGATGGAGTGTTGATGGTCCCCATTCTGGATGTAGCTGTCCAGTGCGAGCTTTTTGTTCGCAGCGGATAATCCATAGTTGGGCCCAGTTCCCGTGCCTGACAACTTTCGCGCCGGAGTAGAGAAAGACCCTGAAGGTGTGGTCGCATATGCGTAGTGGATTGGCCACGAAGGCTGAGGGTTGTGGCCATCAAGGAAGGCACGGGCAGAGTTATCGGAGTCGCTTCGCAACAGCGTCTGCCGACTGTGTAGACGTCGATGCGGACTGTTTCGTCGTCTACGACGAACGAACAGGATGCATGCCAATAGGGCAAAAAATGAAACAGCCATCCCGCCCACGACACAGCCGACGATCGTGCCCACCGTGTGGGACGCGTTTCTATGGGTGTCATCTGACGACGAGCCGGATTGACCACCCACTGGAGAGGAAGAAGTTGTTGTTGTGACAAATGATGGAGTCGAAAGTGTAGAAGAAGATTGGGTGCTAGTGCCTTCTAGGCTACTCGTGACCATTTGAAGTCCCGGGTCACTGCCGGAAACCGGGCTTTGCGACGGCGAATGAGTGGTCATTGCCGCGCCGGCAGTTGCTGAGCTTGGCCGAATTGAGGTTGGTGTGATGGTGAACAGTGGCATGGGATGTGCTTCACTGGTGTGAGTATTGGGGTCTTTTGATCCCACCGGTGATGCTTCCGCCTGCGATTCTGAACTGGGGAAGATTGTAGTATCACTGGTCCATGATGGGACCGAGGAGGCGAGATGAGTTGGAGAAGGCGTTTGCAGCGTGGTTCCCTGTTTGGTTTCAGACTGGGTGTTCTCTGCCCAGGGTGTCTCTGGGAGATGAGATTGTGGTAGGTTGGTGAAAGTGACCGTCACCGATTGAACACTCTCCGAGTGTGTGGTCGTGACCAACTCCGAGGTCACGAACTGTGTGACAGGATCATTGGAGATGGTGGTTTGTTTGGTGTAGGTCAAAACTGGATGAATCGTCTCGGTCAGGAAAGAAGTGAAGTCGACCAGGCTGGCTGCATTGGTCGAGGTGCCCAGCTGGGCGCCAGTGAATTCCGCGATGGAAGTGGTCGACGAAAGTGAATAGTCATTCAACATGTCGAACTAGCCCGTAGGCTAAGGATGAGGGAAGAGATCAATGGAAATCGAGTTTGGTAGAGAAGTTTTGTCAAAAGAGTCAAAAGGTGGTCGAGGGGTGTAGAAGACAAAGGCAGAAGTGAAGTGAAGCAAGTGAAAAGCAAATAAAGCAAGCGTTTGTGTTTGTATATGGGGGAACCTTGGGGAACAAAGGGAAGGAGCTACCCAGGCTGGAGTCAACAGAGTGCGAGCCCCCACACTTTCCACTCTTTCACTTTGTTTCTACAACAAAGCAGTTGATCTACCACGAGAATCACCATAATCACGACCAGGACTTGAAGAAGTTTACTTGGAGATGCAGAAGGGGCCAAAAAAGAATTCGATAAAGTTTCTAGAGAATGGGATACTTTATACGGAGCCGGGGTCATGGGGACTCAGGGTATCATCTAGTATCATTTAGTATCATCTATTGTTTCAAGTTGGACCGTTGGCGCTTCCCCGTGTGTGAGGGTAGGCAGCGCTTAATAGAGTGTTGTGGGCCTGGACCAATGAGAGGGCAGGATACCGGGCACCATGGATGATCCAGACCCCTGCTCGTGTGAAAATGTGATAGTCTGCAGAAAGTAGCCGTTTCTGCTTGTTTCTGTGTCGATCGAGTAATTGGGCGAAACAGAGGTGATTTGGAAGCACTGTGTAATGGACTGGTCCAACCTGGGCGTTTCAGCTGGGGACAGCTGGGGAGGGGGGTTCGTAAGGATGGTGACTCGGGGTGCTGGATGAATGTGAGGAGTCCAAAGGAGTGAAGGGAAGAAGGGAGTGAAGAGCGTGAGTTGATGTTGATGACTGTCGTTGTTGCTGCTGATGTTGGCAGGTGCTCTCCCGGGGCAGGTGCAGAGTGCAGAGTTGAGAGTCGCACTTGCCAAAAGTACCCAGTTGACCCAGAGCCCAGTTGACGTCCCCTCCAAATAACATTCCACTCCCACTGCCACTTCCACTCCACTCCACTCCCACTACCATCCATCCGCCACCTCCCACCTCCATTCTCCCCCGACCTCTTCTCCCAGAGCATGTGAGTGCGTTTGTATGCCCTCTTTGCAGATTATCTAACCATGTTCGGCTGGGGCCCTGGCTTGGGTAAGTGGCGGTCCCTGTTCCTGTTCCTGTCCCCGTACCGGTACCGGTGAATGTACCTGTACCCTCCCCTGCTGCTTGCTGAAGCAATGCAGGCGCTCGTTCCAATCTGGTGCATTTGCAGACTTATCACGGTGTCCTATGATCATTCGATGATCCTTGCTAACTTCTCCCCCCTCTAAACAGCCTTACCTTCAGCCTCCTCGGAGCCCGAGAAAGAACGCAAGCCTCCCGCCGCCGCAACCCCGCTTGACTTCCCCGTATACAACCTCCCCGATCCGGTATCCGAAGAACAATGCTCTCTCCAAGAACTCCTCGGCCAGTTGGCCTCCATCAAGCGACCCCAGGATATCTCCCTCAACAGGTTTAAACCATTGAATCTGCAACTCGAGACCGATGTCGATGTCAAACAAATGTTCCCCGAGGACCAGGCTCCGTCTGTCGCTCCGCTGCCCTGGGAAAATGATTCGGAGATCCTGCCCGGTGGTGAGGCACCCCCACGGCCAGTCATGAGCAATGGCCTCCCTTATCCGCCCAAGGAACGCTTCGAGACCCTCCAAGGTGAATTGATGCTGGACAATGACGATACCTTCCGCGAGATGGCCCGACTGCCCGCACGTGAGGGGCGCCCACGGGTTCGCATCACCCAGACCAGGAAATTTTGGACGGGATTGGAGCGAATGGCTCAGTACTGGGACACCAGTCTTGATCAATACTTCGATCGTCCTGCTAGCCCGACACCGCCGCCATCGGATACCGAAGCCAACGAGGACAAGATGCAGACGGACAAAGCCGCCGACTCAACGGATTCAGCGATGGACGTGGATAAATCAGAGGCCCCCGCGGATACCAATGGAGTGTCTCATCCCACTGTGATGAGGTATACCGGCCGCCGTATCGGATCTGGCACGGAGATGCCCGACGACGTGCGGGACGAGGCCATTCGAGCCTTTGTGGAGATGGCGGCTTGGCCCTTCGGATGCCAGGTCTGTGTACCTACATTGCCGCCACGATTGACGGTCAAGAGCTTGCTCTTCCCGGTGCGGCAGTCCTTTCAGGCAGCTCGATCCCCACGAGACCGCACAATTGCCCGCAGCGGCATTCTGGAGGGACCCCTCCTCATCGCCCAGTGTCGCCCGGAGACGACTTTCCGAGCCATGGGCGATGAGCCGGGCTCAGGGATCGGCGAGGTCTGTGATTTGTTCCGTGAAGTCGGTGGGATGCTATTGGCGGCCCAGGAACGGGCTCGCCAAGGAGAGGTTGAGATGCGCCCCGGAGAAGGGAAGTGGTGGACAACCACCCCACGTTTTGGCGGCGCGTCCCATGACGAGATACTGGACGACCTCGTCAAGGGACAGGGATTGGGAATGCACGGGATGCCCTTGCCGGAAGAGATACTCGAGGAAAGCAGGCCTCCGCCCCCAGTACCTGTCCCCGATGTCGAGAGTGCTCGCAAACGCCACAAGTTCGAGCACCCATTCGTGACATCGTTGTCACGCCGCCCGAGTGCAATGCGCAAGCTCTCTAGTGGTGAAAAATGGCAGATTCTGCAACCCGGAGCCAGTCTGTGGGATAAGCGCATGCGATACCAACAGATTGGAAAGTCTCCGGACAGCGTTTATGATGATGTATGTTCTGGCAGCCCTCGAATTTTTGCATCAATTAACTAACATTCCTTCGCACTAGATCTACATGGTTTCGTCAATCAACCACCACATCTCCATCCTGCACCTCCGAGTCCACAAACGGTACCTGGAGATTCTCACCTTCGGCAAGAGTGACATCCCTGCCGACTCCGCCGACGCAGAGCACCCCTGGCACGTTCTGAAGCTCCAACGCAGCAGATGGTACGACCTCTTCGATTCCACCGAGCGCGTGGAGGGATTGAAGTGTGTCTGGGCTCTTTTCCACTACCAGCTAAGAACGATCTAGCGGATCACGTGTTGAAGATTTTCAGGGTTTCATTATCTTTTCATGTTGATTTTTCTTTTTCAAAGCGGCACTGCCCAGCTTATTTCACACACATATTTCCCCCTCCCATATGCGGCGCATCATGTACATAGAGAAGAGAAAAGACTCGCGACGGCTCGGCTTCGGCTTCGATTTTAGATAGCACCCCCCTTCCCCAGTCAGTGCGAGCTTGGGGACTGTCATCGGCGTTTACTTCGAGTATGTCGCCTCGAGGTCCCGATGATGCCGTGGTACATAGATCAAATTTCTAAATTCAATTTTTTCCGCACTACCATTGATTTTGACAGTCCAAGGTTCCTTAGGGCAAGTCTGCGGCTGGAGTGATTACTTTTTGTATGATCACGACAGTCGCAGTTGGCCTTCTATTTACTAATTTACTAGTGCTGCAGGTATACTGGTATCATTGAAAGGTGCCCGGTGGGTTTCAAGTTATTTGATCTAAGCTAAATGTATGACCTGGAATCCAAGAATGTGTTGAGGTCTGTGTATCGGAGGGCGAATAGCATGAAAGTGTGCTGGAGAGAGCGGCTGCTACTATCTAGGGCAAAAGGATGGCATTCTGGATGCTTGAGGCTTGCCGGCTTCAACGGAATGTTATGTACAATGCTCATTACTATGGTCTCTCTTCCTCTCTCCCTAAGATCCTCTATTCTGAAAGTTCAACTATAAATCGCTAGCGGCAATGGGTGTACTTGATTCCCTATTTCCAAAAAAAGGAAAAGGAAAAGGGAAAGGAAAAGTATATGCTGCCAAAAATGCAGGGGTGCCCAAAACCAACTCCACCAGAGTCGGGAGTTGACTGAACCCCGAAAAGCAGTGAATGTGTCACGTAGAATCGACTAGAGAAAATATTTTCTTACGAGTAAGCGAGGATTGAATTTCGCAGAAAGGACATGGCTATGGATGGCCTTGGCCATCGGGAATACCCGTTCCTGAAGTGCTAGCATTCTTGATACTAGGTCTGCACTGTTACTACCTACTAACTAGTATATGTGGACTCTAACTACCTGGCGACGGATCCGATTGGTGACAGTAAATACCTTAGGTTAAGGCAGTTGAGCATTATCTATTAGTTATAGAAAACAATCATCGGCGAGGAAATAATTCCGTCTAGTTGACGCTATTCCAAGATTGTAAATTAAATCCAGCCCGGATGTCGGAATAAACCGTCAAGACTCCATCCTAGTGAATATATGACTATAGCTTCTCGGGCTAAATCGAGTTAATATCCCTGTGATAACTAGCAGATGATCCATCAGCAAACCGTGATAGGTAAACACCCGGTGGAGCCCAGATGTTCATTCTGGGGCTACGTTTTTGCAAAAGCCATTACTAGCCCGTGAAAAAGTTAAAAATGCCGCGGCTATCTGAAAATCCATGGTGTTGTCTTAAGCTTGAATGGTTTGTCTGATTTGACCAATATTAAATAAAATGCACCGCGCCCTACCGCGCCCTACAGCAACCCTACAGCGCCCTATGCTCCACGCCCGTTCGGGTTGCGCATCCGGTATGGCATGTTTCAGTACTTTGAACAAGACCACCCCGTATCATTTTTCTTTCTAAGTAGGTAAATGCACATCGACGCTCATTACAGTGGCATATTTCTTGAGTCATAAGTTGGAGATGAATGTGCGAGTTCCGTTCTCTCCGTATTGGCTAAGGATCTCAGATCAGGCGTGGAAGTGTCCAGATCGTTCCAAAATGTTGATGATGGTCATAGCTCTGAGTTCTACTATTCGTTCTTTGATTTCGGTATTTCATATTTTTACTAAAGAGCATGGCAATGCGTGTCCAGCCCAAGGTTGGACACGCCAAGTAGTAAAACACGAATTGAGGAGGACAATAGAGGTGCACGAAGCCCCATAGATTATCATGTCTTAGCGCCCCAAGGCGTTTTCAGTCACAAAGGAAGTGATATT